CAGGAGTTGGGAATTTTTCTGTAACAGTGTCCTATAAGGGTTCCCTCGTGCTTCCCCTCCCAACAGCATAAAGGGCTGAGTGACTCCAACTGCACACTAGTTCTTTCTGACCACCCTTTTCAAAGAGTCAGAACCTCTCAGTGTTTCTCCATCTCCCTTAATTAGTTTTGGATTAGGATACAGAGTTTGCTTGTGTCTGTAGTAAATGGTTTAGGTTTTTTTCATATATACTTTATTTCTTTTTGACCCCCTGGTGCAATAAAAAAAAATGCAGCTTAAGGCTAGGTCAGTTGTATTTGTCAGTTTCACTGGACTGCCCGCCATTTGTCTGTCTTGCTCCCCCAGCTTCAAGTCTTTTCCATTATGTAAAAGAACGATAGCTCTGTACGATGGACGAGATATGTGTTTATACTGTCTCGGGGACAGTCCGTTAACAGCAAAGCTGCAAGGCTTTTAATAAATGCACATAAAGATAGAGAATCAAAGCTTTGACTTTCCATAAGAAATAGTTTGAGAACACCTTCAGACACAGAGGCTTTGGGGGATCAAGGGACTTCAACCCCTTCCCTGCTCTAGTCATGCCTTCAGCGCTCAGGAGATGGAAGATTCTCTGCACCTTGAAGTCTTTAAACCATGATCTGAGGACTTCAATGGCTCAGACACAGGTTTGATATAGGAGTGGGTGGGTGAGATTCTGTAGCTACTAGCCTGCGTTGTGCAGGAGGTCAGACTAGATGATCATAATGGTCCCTTCTGACCTTAAAGTCTATGATTCTATGAGTCTAATTATTGCAGCAGTGCTCTTCTGTCTGTCATGGGGAAAGTTTTTTCTTCTACCTTATAGGCCCAAACCGCTGATATCTTAAGGATCAAGAGAAGATAACAACAAGCTGGCTTCACTCCCACAGTGGAGCAAAACTTCACAGTGCGCCAGCTTATTGAAAAGGCAGGAGCATCCAGTTCACATTGCATCGGTGGATCTCAAGACTGCATTTGACTCTCTTGACAGGGAATTGCTTTGGCTGATCTTGAAATTTACGGCATCTCCGACCAGCTTTGTAGCATGCTCCATCTCCGATGATTCTTCAAGCTGTGTTCTTGTATATGGGGAAAGAACCACCTTCTTACAAATTAATTCAGGCGTTCAACCAGGATGAGCTGCCACCCCAGAACTCTTCAATGGCATCAGATGATGTGTTTGGCCCGACACTAAGTAAATGCATTTTAGACACAGGCCTTAATGAGAAGAACCTCACCATTGTTCATTTTGCTGCTGACATACTGCTAGTGGTTGAATCAGTGGATGAGCTAGTTACAGCATTTAAAGCCCTGGAAAGCTTAGCAGCAAAAGTTGGCTTGAAAATTAATTGGGCTAAAACCAAAATTCTTCCAGTCAGTGATTTTGACCATGTTTCAGGCTCTAGCAGCTTAGTGGGCAACCACCTGGTCGAGAGAGTCAGGTATTTCACCTTCCTTTGCTCTGTTGATGAAAACATAGGTGGCATTCAGAGAGAAATTGAAGCCCAGCCTGCAAAAGCATCATCAGTAATGGGGCACCTCCTCAAAAGCATCTTTCGCAATCAGTAGAGATAGGCAGAGAGATTAGGCAGAGGATATACACTGCGTCAGTAGTCAGTAAGCTGATCTTTGGGACTGAAACTTGACCGCTCACTGTCAAGATTGAAAAGAAGATGGACACCATTCAGTTGAAGAATCTCTGAATGATCAAAAACATCAAATAGTACGAAGTCAAGTCGAATTAAGAGCTCCATTGTCTAAATAAACAGGTCCTGGTCTCTCAAACAATTGGCCAGCACTCTTTGGCTCAGAATGTATTTGGTGGTCTCTACTCTGTCCTTGTGACAGCATAAGAACTAACCAACCTCACCTGACTACTTGTTCAGCGTGGCCCCGATCTCAGCTGTGTTGAGAGGAGAGGCATAGTGGCAGAACTTTCTTTCTCAAAGAGGCTCCAAGCTAGGGTGACCAGATAGCAAGTGTGAAAAATCGGGACAGGGGCTGGGAGGTAATAGGAGCCTATATAAGAAAAAGCCCCAAATATTGGGACTGTCCCTATAAAATCAGGACATCTGGTCACCCTACTCCAAGCCCAGTTTGAAGATGGCTGAGCATTCGACCTTGCTAGGAAATAGCAAGCTCTGAAGCTTGCTCAGTTATTTATGGAAAAAGCGTCAGCCATCCGGGCTCTTTGTTTGCTTAATGATTCCTCCAGCTTGCATGTTTCCAGAGAGGATACGAATTGGATGACTATCCTGATTGCTAAGGAAATATTTTACTGAGATACTGGAAATTGAATCAACACCCAAGCAGGAGGAACAGATTATGATGCAACTATTAATGAGCATCAAAAAGAGTTTTCAAGAAAATGGGGACACTTTTGGGAGCCCTTTGGGGATGATGTTAATTGTTGAATATGACCCATCGGTCATGACAAACATGATACAGAGAAATCTCATCGTTTGGATTTTCTATCTTAAAAACCATTAGATCCTCTTTTCTTTCTCTGTCTCCCACTGATGTTGGAAGGCACAAATTGAAACAACACAAGATCTATCGGGGGAAATATTAGTTTTATTAGGAACAAGGGAAATCGGCTAGGTCTCTTTTCCCTCCCCAGCATGATGTAAGATAGATAAAGTTAAGTTTTGGGGGAACTGGCTGGCAAAGGGGATTGCTAGTGGGCTAGAGAACCTTTCACATCTAGAACATCACTTCAAATCACAGCCCCATTCACAGTGACTGATAGTTGTGGCAATCTGCTGGCTCTTTGGTGGCCTGTGTGAAATCCAGTGTTGGATTTAATCCCTTGCTAGGCTAGCCCAAGAGCTGAACAGACCTGGAGACTAAACTCAACTTCCCACCAGCTCCAGTTTAAGGGGGTACAGGGGAATGCTGGTGCTGTCACATGCTATGCTGACCCAGCTTGTGCAATTCAACATCCAGGGCAATCAGACTAGCATGACGTTTACAAAAAGAACCAGAAGTTGGGTTTTACTCCTTTGTGGGCGCAGCATGTCCCTGCTCAGTAACCAGCGCTATCCACCCATAGGAAACAAAACTCAATGTAAAAATGCGTGAACAGTTATGGACAACACCCTGATAGCGTCCCGACGAGTTGTGGTGTTGAAGGTGGGTTTACTCAGGTTTCTTTTTTTGGGAAAAGATTTTGAGCCCTTGTGGCCATTTAACGTATAAAGCACATGAAGTCTGAAAATGCTGAATGAACAGCATGTATGAAGCACTTTGGGATGAAAAATAAGTTAGTACAACAAAGGCTACAGGACAAGTGCAACTGACGAGCCAACTTTTATCCTCAACTGTGTACCCAGCTTTAACCGACCCCAGTGCAAGGGCTGAACTTAGCTCCACATCAGGGGCCCAACAAATCATCAGTGGAGGGCTCATAACAAGGAACTGTAGAAGGGGTGGGGGGAGTTTTACTTCATGATGCAGACAGGAGGCATGAAAAGTTAGGAGTTCTGGCTGGTTTTTTTTTACCTTAGCAAGAACAGGGCTCTCCAGTCTCATCTTCCCAATTTTTCTGGGAGAGTTTATGTCCATGGATACTATCTTAGCCCTTAATAGAAGGGGGAGAGGTGTTGGATGTTTAGCAACAGATCTCTATCTATAGGGCTTTTAAGCGGGTCAATATCAACCACCACCCAGGAGTTTGGGCAGTCTGAATAAGAGTCACTTCCTCTCTCAGTCATTGTCTATGTACTTAATATCTATGATGTAATACTCCTGGTGCTTGATCACATCTTCCAGGAAAGACAACGTAGAGAAGGGATAAGATTTCCCAGGAGGCACCTAAATGACTTAGGAGCATAAATACCCTTTGAAAAAGCACCTAAGACAATTTCTAGTGGGGAAAAAAAATGACCCCAGTTCTGGCCTTCCTTATACATCAGCACACACGGCCTAAACCTCTTCATTTTCTCCCTTTCAGATCATGTTAAAGAAAATGGGTTAGAGGGAAGAAGAGTTTAAATTCTTTAGGGCAAAGAACATTATCTGTCCACGGTTTTGTAGTTCTGCATTATGACAAAATGTGGCAGATGTGGAGCAGATAAGAATAGTGATGTGTAATAGTTTTATGAATACTATATGGGACCTGCTCAGTGAGATGAAGTGTATATGATGGGTTATTACACTTTCCTACATGAATATTCTGATCTAGCTTAACAGGGAGGCTGCTGGATAAACACAAACACACGGGCTATAGATAAGTAACCTTCCAACAAACTCTTGGGGGGCAATTACAGGAGAGAGGCCTAGGGCCAGGTGTTTTGGCAAGGATGGGAGCCTAGAGGCCAAAGGGACACAACAGCTAAAGGGACTCTGGAGGGAAAGTTAGGAATGTGCTGTTTCTGGGGAGAACATACTGAGAACCAGACACAAAAATGTCTGAAGCAGTTTCCAGGGGCTGGTAAGCTTTGAGGCAGTTACACATGGTTCTAGTTTTAAGACCTATTTCCACTGAATTTCTTTGGTTCTAAATAAATAATACTTTGCTTTAAAGAGAGTTTTTAGTTACTAGATACTATAGTCATAGGAAATGAACTTCAGGCCTGCTGAGGTAATCACCCTTAGTACCTGAGGACTGCAGCCTGAGGCCCAGTCTGAGAGTGGGAAAATTGCATGATTCCACCCCGAGAGATTATGGGCCAAGACAGGCCATGGTGGGCAGCACTATAAGAGGCCAGGAAGGGACAGTTAGGCCAGTAACTGTGGCAAACAATTATCCTAGTGAGTATCACCACCTCTGGCTACAACAAACAATTCTTGTAAAGACAGAGCAAGTTGAGTGGGATAAATCTGGACTCTTCTTCCAGGTTAAATAAACTGAGGAGGAGATTCTCTTCCCCTTTGAAATCCATTCGTCTCCTTTAGGCGGCATTAAAAGATGTTTTCCTGGTACATTAGCTAGACACCCCCACGCACTTACATTTCACACAAATGCAGAGAGACCATTCACCCAAGTTTCAGCACTTTTAATATCCTTTGTTTCAGATGTTACTGGACAGTGTCAGTCAGTAAGAACTACATGAAAGGCTGTCTCACACAACTGTTAAAATGTAAATAAGAGGGATTCTAATCTACAAATGCTGATCTCATTCTGTGCAAACACGTGGCAAACTACCTTAAAATGACTGAGTGCCTGTGTAAGGTGCTGCTGTGACAGCTCAGGACAGAAGTCCTTGTTAGCTACAGCAGAGGTATAGAGTGAGCAGTAACATGCAAGCTCCCCCGCTCCCATTGCCCTGCCAGCGTGCGTATAGCTGGATGGAACATGGTTAGGACAGAGAGTAGTTTAGCCCCCATATCGCATAGGGAGGTGTTAATTCAACTGCTGGCCTTGCGACTTAGACTTGCAGAGAGGTGCTTGTCTGAAATAGATACCTAACCAGTAATATCAACTAATTTCACATAGGCCCCTGAATAGCTCTCAGACAGGCTGGAATTAAGCTGACTATCTTTTACTTTACTAACGCCATTTCTTTACCTTCAACACCATTCTGTTTCACAGTTCTCCTTTTGCTCGGGTTTTAGTCTCTCCCCCTCCCCCCCACAAGCCTGTCTTCCTCGATTAGAGATTTCCCCCCTCAATCGTGTGATCAGCTACAAAACAAAAATACTGTACACTTTTAATTTTAGGTCTCATTTTCTGAAAAGGAATTCTAGGATACAGTGTTCTACACACAGCAAGCTTTCAGCAAAAGGTAAGAGGATCCCAGCTGGTGTAAAAATATATTTTAAATAAAATAGAGTTTCTATAGGAGAGCAAGCTATGTTGTACATTTCTAATTCTTTAGAATATTTTACAGCAGCCAGAGGCCCGGTTGTACAGTCTACACCCTAAAAAAAAGTTCATGTACAGTCATGCTTCAGCAGATGAGGGCAAGTCTACAAAGCAAAGAATTGGATGCATTCGGTGCATGAACAAAAGTCATGTACTTTAAGTGTAAGAAAACGTAACCTTCCTAAACAGCCAGCCAATCGGTTAAGGCAAGAAGCAGATTTAACGCAATGCAATTCTAGCCTTGCTCCTGTAACTCACCCATCAAAAACTAAAGCTACTTTCACTTGTTGGTCCAGCTTAGCAGCTGGATAAGTCACAGCTTCAGTTGCATTGGTTTTGGCCTAAATTGAGGAAACCGCTGCAGTTGAATGTTGAACAGCTTCTCCCATGGAGAGGACACAGTCACAAGTTCTCCCACACGTTTGTAAGAAGGGGTAAGTCTGCATCCTTTAAACACTGAGCACATGTCATCGCACACATGCAGGCCTTCAGTGAAGGGAGACACTGTAACATACCAAGTTTAACATGGGTTCTAGGATGAAGAGCCAGACTTGAACCAGAGTTTTCTCCCTAAGAAGGCTGCATGCCCACAGATGGCTGTAGGGCAAACTGAATGGGTGGCTTCAGTCTCTACCTCTCAACTGGAAAAACGAGAGGGGTGTTAAAGGAAAATAAGGGAGCCCCTGAGGTCCAGATCCTAAAAGCTATTTGGGCTCCTAATAACTTTCAGGACCTGGGCTTGCAGTGTGTGTTCAGCTACCACAGACATTAGGTACAGCTAATACACCCAGCTAGTCACAGCACCCAGTATGAAGAGGTTACATTATCCTGGCAGCTGGCTGCGCAGACTGCAGACGGAGTGTGAGCAGTTCCTCAAGTGTATGGCAGCCTGGAACGGTAGCAAGCTCGTGACTAGTGTGAAAGCCCAGAGTATTTGGGCCATATCTGAAAGGTGACGGATTCAGAGAGGGGAAAGTGAATGTGGTTTTCACACTACACGTATCATTCCAGCCTCACTCAGAGGACAGCACTCGAGAGTATGCAGATACCTCACACTGGCACAATTTAAATATGCAGAAGACAAATGTATAAGGCATCTTATTCCAAGAAGTATACTTCAGAGAGCAGAACAGTGTAACAATGTTAGTCTGCAACAGGTACCAGTCTTTGCATATATGGTTCCTATTTAATTAGTAGGAATGCCTATAAATAATTATGGAGACAAGTTGGGTGAGGTAATGTCTTTCATTGGATTAACTTCTGTTGGGGAGACAAGCTTTCAAGCTTACCAAGACCTGAGGAAAAGCTCCGCGTAAGCTCAAAAGCTTGTCTCTCTCACCAACAGAAGTTGGTCCAATAAAAGATATTACCTCCCCCACATTGTCTCTCTAATAACCTGGGACCAACACAGCTACAACACTGCATATAAATAATTGTGTTCAATTATTTCCATAGCATACTCATTTCACAATCCCTTGTACTTTAAAGCTGTTAGCACTGCACCAGACCACCTTCAAAGGGGACAGCTGGTTAATTGTTTAAAATGGACTTCCTTACAGCAGTGAGTATCACATTAAGTCTCAAACCATGGTAATGGTGTTATTATTTTTAAACACATCACTCCGTTTCATTGTCCATGCTAACTCATCTAGTCCTATCCTAATTCTGCACTAGCACAATGCTGCGGTGTTTGGGATGCACACACTAAGTGGGATGGGGACTGAATCAGGTTTTCAATTAAAAGTTTTTATTTATATGAGCATTTCTGATCTTGGTTAGTAGGAAGAGGCTTTTAAAAAACAAAAAACCTTTAAAACTTTGGGCTGAACTACCCTGTCATGTCCTTTTAAGGGGATCCAAGATTTGTTTTGTGTTTCAGACACGTCTAAAACTGAACACAATCTCCAAGGAGAAAATAATGTATGAAGTGGGACTTAGATAAGGTAGGAAGGCAAAATGGTGATTAAAATCTGCCTATGATTAGCTAGCTAATGCAGTGAAATGCTTTTAAATACTGTAGATTCCCCATTAGCTGGCAGCCAGCTTTATGAAAAGCTCTGAAAACAACTTCTAGCTGAGCCTTATTTGGACGTGGTATTTAGTGTTGAACGTAACATTCAGCTTGAATCCTGACACTTGGGCCTGGTCATTCAGAAGCGAGGTCGATCCACTTGTCCCAATCCTCACTTGCCCCTTTTGCTACGGCCTCTCCTAGAAGGCGGCTTTCCCATGCCCCCCGCTGGTGAGCTTGCAGAAGATGCCACTGCAATGTTGATCTGTCCTTCCTGGATTTCCTGCCTGGTCTCAGCTGGGAGGTGGTTGATTTTCTGTTGTGTTTCTAAGTAGAACATGACATCCCGCAGCTGCTCCTGTATCTCTGTGATCTGCAGGTCCTTCTGCTCACAAGTTTCCTTTAGAACCTTCTCTTCTTCCTTTAGTTTGTTCTGCAGTAAGACCTGATTTGCTCGCAAACATTTGTTCATTTCCTGTTCCTCCTTTAGCTCATTGGAGAGTTTGGCCACCTTGTTATTCAGCTGAATGCACCTGACACACAACAGAAAGAAGGAAAAAGCAAATGAGACATTGCAGCCACAGTGGCCTAATTATCAGAGGCGTTAAGCGATCAGGGGTGTTAAGTCAGACAAAGTTTATAGAATCACAGAAGGGTACGGCTGGAAGAGACCCCAAGAGGTCAAGTCCAGCCCCCTGGGCTGAGGCAAGACCAAGTAAACCTAAACCATCCCTGACAGGGGTTTGTCCAATCTGTTCTTAAATACCTCCAATGATGGGGTTTCCACAATGTCCCTTGGACGCCTGTTCCAGAGCTTAATTACCCTGAGAGAGTTAGAAAGTTTCTTCCTACTATCTAACCGAAATCTCCCTTGCTACAAATAAAGCCGATTACTTCTTGTCCTACACTCAGTGGACACAGAAAACAACTGATCACTGTCCTCTTTATAACAGTCCTTAACAGATTTGAAGACACAGTAATCAGTCCCCCTTCAGTCTTTTCTCACAACTAAACGTGCCGTTTGTTTAACCCAGGGGTAGGCAACCTATGGCACGGGTGCCGAAGGCGGCACGTGAGCTGATTTTCAGTGGCACTCACGCTGCCCAGGTCCTGGCCACCAGTCCAGGGAGCTCTGCATTTTAATTTAATTTTAAATGAAGCTTCTTAAACATTTTGAAACCTTATTTACTTTACATAAAACAATAGTTATATAATAGACTTATAGAAAGAGACCTTCTAAAAATGTTAAAATGTATTACTGGCACGCAAAACCTTAAAATCAGAGTGAATAAATGAAGACTCAGCACACCACTTCTGAAAGGTTGCCAACCCCTGTTTAACCTTTCCTCACAGGTCGGGCTTGCTAAACCTTTTCTCATTTTTGTTGCTCTTCTCTGGGCGCTTTCCAATTTGTCCACATCTTTCCTAAAGTGTTCAAAACTGGACACAGAACTCCAGCTGAGCGTCCCTCGCGAGTGCTGAGGGGAACAGGGCAATTGCCTCCCATGTCTTACATACGGTACTCTTGTCAATACACTCCAGAACGATATTTGCCTTTTTCGCAGCTGCAACCCCTTATTGCCTCTCATTCCATCTGTGGTCCACTATAACCCCCACATCCTGTTCAGCAGTGCTACTGCCTAGCCAGTTAGTCCCCATTCTGCAGTTGTGGATTTGATTCTTCCTTCCTAAGTGAAGCACTTTGCACTTGTTTTTATTGTATTTCATCTTGTTGATTTCAGACCAATTCTCCAATGTATCAAGATCATTTTGAATTCTAATCCTGTCCCTTGAAGTGCTTGCAACCCCTCCCAGCTTGATGTCATCTGCAAGTTTTATAAGTGTACTCTCCATGCCATTATCTAAGTCATGAATGACAATATTGAACAGCAATGTAGCAGGAGGATTAATGTGTCAGGATTATACTCTTTTGGGTTAAAACTATTTTATCTTTTGGGGCTACTAGAAGGTGAGTACATAACTGGCTGGATAACCGTACTCAGATAATTGTTATTAATGGTTCCCAATCCTGCTGGAAAGGCATAACAAGTGGGGTTCTGCAGGGATCTGTTTTGGGACCGGCTCTGTTCAATATCTTCATTAACGACTTAGATATTGGCATAGAAAGTACACTTATTAAGTTTGCGAATGATACCAAACTGGGAGGAATTGCAACTGCTTTGGAGGACAGGGTCATAATTCAAAATGATCTGGAGAAATTGGAGAAATGGTCTGAGTTAAACAGGATGAAGTTTAACAAAGACAAATGCAAAGTGCTCCACTTAGGAAAAGAAAAATCAGTTTCACACATACAGAATGGGAAGAGACTGTCTAGGAAGGAGTATGGCAGAAAGGGATCTAGGGGTTATAGTGGACTACAAGCTAAATATGAGTCAACAGTGTGATGCTGTTGCAAAAAAAGCAAATGTGATTCTGGGATGTATTAACAGGTGTGTTGTGAGCAAGACACGAGAAGTCATTCTTCCGCTCTACTCTGCTCTGGTTAGGCCTCAGCTGGAGTATTGTGTCCAGTTCTGGGCACCGCATTTCAAGAAAGATGTGGAGAAACTGGAAAGGGTCCAGAGAAGAGCAAAAAGAATGATTAAAGGTCTTGGGGACAAGACCCATCAACGACGGGTGAAG